TCAGCCTGGGAACATAGCAAGAATACATCTCTACAAAACATTAAACAAAATTAGCCAGGCCTTATGGCTTGCCTATAGTCCAAGATACTCAGGAGACTGGGGCAGAAAGAGCACTTGAGGCCAGGAGTTCAAGGCTGCAGTGAGCTATGATGATGCTACTGCATTCTAGCCTGAGTGACAGAGTGATATCCTGCCTATTAAAAAAAAAAGAAAAGGTATACAACGTATAGAAGGATGTTTGCACTGTGCACACATTTTTATTTAGGATTTTCTTTTAAAACTAATTCTGATATAAGCAAAAATACTTTATTTCTGCAAAGATTCTTCATTATTGGCCAATGGTGCCATGCAATCATATTACATATTTAGAGGAATTATTCCCTGAACATGCATGTATTGAGCACTTACTCTGTGCCAGGCAGAGCACTAAATGTTAGGAATACAAACACAGATATAGCCTGATTCCTGCCCCAAAGGTCTTAAATCTTAATTGGTGGAGACACAAAGTTATAAATAAACAAAGGCAGAAAAAGTGCCACAAGTGCCATGTTTGAAATACCCTCAAGGTTTTGGATGAGTTTAGATGCAGTGCTTCAAAGGAGGATGTGGTCAATTGAACAGTGAGTCTCAAGGTCAAAAAAACTTGGTAGAGGAGGTGACTTTGAGGTGAGCCTTGATGATAAATAAAGTAGGCTAGGGAGATGAGGGGAAGCCATGTGAGTATAGACATGACAATATGATAGCCCACAAAGCCCATGCAAGCTGAGGATGAGGCTGTGAGTTTCACTGCAATGAGATCTGTACCATCAGGTGCTGTCAGGTGGAAATGGCAGGCTAAGTAGCATATTTGATAGCAACCAAGATAAGGCTGCCTTGCAAATTGAACTTGAAACAAGCTAGATATAAATACAGATCTATTAAGGCAAAGCACTTCATGTGTCAGTATCTATTAACTGCCTGATGCTGAAATGTATTTGTATTGAGTGGCAGGAGCTGGTGGGCCTGCCGGTCCCAGTAGGGCACAAGACCAAGAGAGGTTTTTCCCAAAGAGAAGTATTTGCTTACAAGTGCATACAACCCCTGTTGTATTACAATGTGATTATACTGCAGGCTCTTCTAACAGATAAAATTGCCTATGATGGAAATCAGAGGGAGAGCACAGGGCAAGGCTAGAAGCTGGTTGGCAGTATGCATGATCAAACTCTCTTTTAACTTGTATCAGACAAGGGATTAACATTGGATTTTGTGATATTTTTGAGTGATACTCATATAGTTCCATTAAAAACAGTCTTGGGAAATTATCTGAATGCATCTACTTAAATGACAAGAATAGATGGCAAATTATATCTCCATATCTGTCTAAAAAGAAAGGAGGATTTCATGGTTAGACACTAGGGATTAGACTTTGCTCTGTGTTTTTACAATTATATTATTTCCCCATCTTAAATTAGTAAAGTGGAGCTGATGGTTTTCCCTAGCTCCATGGAGAGAGAGCAAGCATATCACACTATCAGGAACCCAGAATTCTCTTACATTGTCTATGTTATCTGCAAGATACCATAATAAAATCATTCCTTGCTGCGATGAAAAAGGCACATTTCTAAGCAGAATGATATCTGATTCAACACTGTATTTGTATTTATCCAGTGAACCCCCCTGAAAGGACAAACACACGCATTTCATTTACCATCCGATCTTTATTTTTTTTCTAAACCTTTCCTTACCATCCACACAGGCCCCTGTAGCTTCCAGCCCAAATTTATAAGATAAAAGACCAGTGCTGTTGCTGCAGGGGATAGAATGCAACAATGAAAGTTCTGAGTCCAATAAAATTTTTAAATGCTTTTTTTTTTCCAATATACTTTATGAACTTTTACATTTACTGAGTTTTATGAAATTCTGTAGTTCTTTCAGCAATAACCAATTACAACCTTTTGTCCTTTGTTGCCCAGGGTTAGATTTGATCAAAATAGAACCAGATCTGAATGCTCAGTGATCATTTTAGATTTCAGCAAAATCAACAGTGTTGCTTTATCTATCAGAGTGTTTTGGAAGGTTTAATTGTACTGATTGAGTAGAAATTGGAAATGTTGTGATTACGGTATTGTAATTCACATGCTCCAAACTGTACCAGTATGGAGATAAAAGTAGTGTTTAAACAGCAATTACAAAAACAACTGTGCACTCACAAGTCCTTCCTCTCACTTCTCCCAGATAGTTCTGGGGGATCACAGAATCTCTTTTGTGACCCCTGGACCAGTTAGTGTTCTTAGTAACCTCAATAGAATAAGTGTTTTTCTCTTATGTTGTGGTTTGTTCTAACAATGTCTGCTATTTCAATGTTTAGTCTGCTTTCCCTATTACACTATTTAAATATTCTAGAAATTTTAGTATCTTTCATCCAGGTCATATTATCCCAGCTTCTTGCCACTGAAAGCAAGATAAATACAGTTATTCTGACTATAAGCTACACTTTCAGATTGAAAATATTGTCATAGCTTGTATCATCAGGTTTTCCAGTAAGAGGATCACTAGCTGTTGCTTGTAAATCTTTTTCTTTTTCAGATTTTGTATAACATATCTGTACTCAAATGAGGCAAATCTATTCCAGTCATTAGTTTCACTGTCCATTAGGGGAATCAGGGAGGTAGGAGAAATACTCATGGTTTGACAACACTGCATAATTTTCCCATCCAGTGAAATATTCTCTCTGGGTCAAGCTAAAATAAGCTACCTTGTCAATTAACACCAGCATCGTTTTTGGCAAATAGATCTGTCTCTTTGTTCTGCTTCATTGTATGGAGAAAAGGGGCCTCAAAAGTCAGAGTTGTTAGATCATTGCCATATACAAGTCTTTAGTTTTGTGTTGACTGAATGGGTTAGATTTCTAGAACAAAAGATTGTTCCTTTAAAAATTATTCCCCTGGGGTAGCTGATTTCTCACAAAATGTATTACAGATGAGACAGTTTGGACAAATATTTATAAAGCAGGCATTCTAGTTGGGCTAGAACTGAACTTATGTTAGATAGAGCTAGTGACATCCTCTCCCCAGTATCAATTATATTGTCTTATTTATATGGGGTTTAGGTACCTACTGGGAAACTAATTCAAACAATAATGAAGTTCAGGCATGTCTAGAAGGCTGGGAGGATAGGCAAGCTCAATGGGAACCAAAATGCAAAAACAGAGGATGACTTGGCTTCAAAGAGTGAATTTATCATAACAGAAGGTGGTGTCTGGCTCAATGGTCGATTCTGCAATGGGGTATGGAGTTGAGAAGATAGAGGCAGTTCTATTGATAATGTATTGACTATTGAAAATAACATCATCTTGTAATATACATATAACAGGTGACCCTTGCTGGTTCTTTCATCTATTTTTCTATCAATAGTTATACATATGGACAATATTTTTTTCAAGTGGAACTAAAAATACAACTGCATATTTACACACTTATTTGTATCACAGATTAAAAACTCAATCCATGTATTGGAGTGGCATAATTATATCCACATATAGGCATTTGCATATGAATGTCCTTGATTTGCATGGACAATTATAAGTACTCTTTTTTTGCTGATGCAAATGAGGAAACACCTTTGGAATATTGGCCTCATAATTTTTAATCATATATCATTGAGTGGCATATACAGTTTTAGGAAAGCAATCGGCATCATTTCAAGAATAAGGAGTCATTTAGGCAGATTTTCTCTGAGAAGTGCTTGACAGAATAATTTTTCTTCCTAATAAGAATAATGTTTAAAGATTGAGCATTCAATAGTCCAAAGAGAAAAGGGATAAAGGACTGACTTCGTGGTTCCTGGATAAGCATAGAATAATATACTTGACTTCACCTGGCTATCATATAGAGAATTTTGTGTTTCATTACAAGCAATCGGAAGACTGTTTACTATCTTTGCACTACAAAGCATTGAAATTCCTGAAAGGAAGAGTGAAAAGAAGACGTTGGAAAAGTTAACAAGGGTCAAAGCTCTTGGCTTAGAAGGCAAAGGGTCATGCCAGGCATTTTTAGTTATAGTTCCTCGGTTTCTGTCTCTTCAAATAAATTTCAATGTGAGTTGAATATTTCCTAGGGGACAGTGAAACTCACATTAGGGTTTCAGCAGCTGTCTAATAGCCCATGATTTCTGATTATTTAACATGATCTTGAATGTCAACTTTACGTCCAAAGTATTCGGTCTGTTTTGGGGTGTTTCTATCCAGTTCTCAGTTACTTAGATATGTGAAATTACTTCTTGTCATGAGCATGATCAGGAGGAGAAAATGTTCAGTTCTATCATTTATGTGCTTTGAGTAATTACACTTCATTTATCGGATCATGAGAAATGGCATTTTGCTTCTAAGTGAATAGAGTTATAATGTATTCACCTCAGACAGTTAAATTGTAAGTCTGTAACTGAGGTGACTGTGCCCTTATACAATCATTCTGTAGTAAGCCTTTTCTCTCATTTTATCTAAGAATATAGCCATTTTGAATACACGAAACAGATGCCTCTGAGATGGCTACCTCTTTCTCTATCTAAAACAAGGTTGAAAGATAGATCTCTTCAAAGGACATTGGGAGATAGTCCTGGGCATGAGTAACCACAGTTCAGACACTTGGGGTCCAGGCAGGTTGTATTCCCAGGCTGGTGGATCAAGTCATCTTTCCTCACTGCCTTCAAGGTCCATATGGATTTATGGAAGGATGCTGTGTATAGTTATCTCCACATGTTTCATTCTTGCATTCTGTGTATGTGTATGTTTGTGTATGTATATATACATATATATACATGAATATATATGTGTGTGTGTATTCTAACTGAAGAGTTTATCTATGATAAATGATAGTACAGTTTTTTCACTCCCATGAAAGTAGGTTTTGAAAATAAAGGATTTTGAGAGCACCTTAATAAGAGCTCTGTATATCTATGATATCTTATGCTTACAGTAACCTTGACATGAAGGTGAGGCCAGTATAATGCCTTCTGTTTTACAGGTGAGAAGACTGAGCTCAAGACGTTTAAATGATCTGTTCAATTAGTTAACGCTCAGTACTGGAAGAACCAAGGCTGAATCCCACCTCAAGGGCTCCTAGTTTGGTGCCTTTTCTGGCAGTGGGTCCTGTGCCTTCCACTCCTGTACATCCTATAGCAATAAGTAAAGCCTTAGATAAAACATAGATCTGAAGCTAATACTTGTTTGCTTTAATGAATGTTTCTTCCTTAGAGATCACAAAATGTGCCCAAAGCAAGTATGCTTATTGGTTTCAGCTGTTAGTTCAACTATAACATCTAGCAAAATGCCGAGAGAAACAGCTACAACTTAGAAGATAAAATTGTCATTTTAAATATCTTGAATACAGTGATTATATTTATATCATGTTATATATAATGTATTTTGAGATGGGTGTGAGAAATTGTGGGTGGTTGCTGTCAATATATACCTCATTAACAGCAAGAAATACCACTACACCAGGGTCTAATGTTAAAGTTTGCAGCCTGTCTTCTGCTCTGCAAATTTCTTCAAGGAACACTCCAGTTTCCAAACCTGCCATGCAGTCTTGTTTGCCTCTCCAACACACACACTTCTTTTGTCTGGTCTGGTCTCCACCAGGACTCACATTCCTTATTATACTGTGTTGCCCATATTTGCCCAAAGTTTTATGTGCATCTCTTTCGTCCCCACAACCAGATTATGAAACCTGTGAATGAAGGGATAGTATTTGAGCTCCTTTTTATTTCCCCCTAAGCCTACTTAATATATGCTTTTTGGATAAATGATAGAATTAAAATAAACAGATTTTCGGTTACATTTGTCAGCCATCCATAAGCGTACTATGTCAAATTTGAGGCACTGTGGGTTAGGAGACACGAGAGGATATGAAAGGGAAGTAATTATGATAAAGTGGATGAAAAGAGAGATCTTGAAGAGAGGTTAAATACCTGAAATAACAGTAGGCATGGTGAGCTTATATGCCGTCTTCACATGCATATTTCCATAACGGATTGCAAGCCCTGTGAAGATGCCCATGAAGCTTAGCGCAACGCATGGCCGAGAATACATACTCAGTTAGTATTTGTCAATCTAATTAAGAGAAGATATTTACAGACCGGTAAAGAACATTCCTCCACTCCTACTTCCCCTTTTGAGTCATCAAAATTCACCATTTGGTTAACCATCTGCCTCCCTAGCCCCTAAGATTAAAGTTGGGTGATAGAGAAAATTGTGAAACATAGAGTGTACAGATAATTCCCTGCAGAATGAGTGACCTGAAAGGTCAGGAGCTGTCTTATGTTCCCTCAGAAGTCAAGGAGCACTCGGCTGCTTCTTTGGAGCTGAGGGAAACATACTCTTAGTGGAGTGGACAGGAGCACTTGAAACAGAGGTAGCAAGTCGCATAAACATAAGCAGACCTTGCACCCACGCTTGGCAATGTCAGAACACAGCCTCAGGGTCAGCATGTGAACTCCATACCTACTCTGGATGTTGCTCAAACTTTGAAATATATTTAGTGGAGGATATATTTCAAAGAAGCAGGAAAGGCTGATTTTTAAAAAAGAAACAGGGAGAGGGAGAAAATGTGGGCAAATTTACCCATTTAATAAACACCGAATGATTTTTAGGATTTGAAACCTTAAGTGGATTACACTTTCCCATCAATGGAGATCTCCAGTCTGCTCCTCCTATGAGTAGCAATGCCTGTTAATGTAGCATCATGAGAAAAGGGAATCAGGATTTTTCCACATTCTGGTGGGAATCTGCCATCACGTGCCCCAGGATCTGACTGGTCATCCCAGGATAATCACTGGGATTTGTATGGGATGATCATTAGAAGAATTGAGTCCACTGATGAGTCTACATTGTATTTTCTGCTTTAGAGACAAGCTAATAATGGCTGTGCACACTGAATCCTGGGTTTTAGCAGATAAGAATGTTGCCCAGGATGTTCAAAATCACATCAGAGAGAATAATTTGACATGAGGATAAATAAATAATACACTTGCTAGTTAGCCTGCAAATAAATGATGACTCTTGAAAACTGTACCTATTTGAATCGTATCTTTTTTGAGCAAAATTGGGCCCACTGGATAGGCAGAGCTGCTTCTCCATTTCTAACTTTAGTATTCCTGCTTTGGCACAGGTATTTCTTTTTCATTAGAGCTTTTCAACCAGAAAAGCTAATATCTGAATATATTATTCTACATATTTACTTCGAACTTAACAGGACTGAAGCTCGGTGAAGCAGTTTACATGCATGGAATACTAACAGAAGTGAACAGGGGAGTGGAAGGAAAGAAATAAGATGGCCAGGAACAGTGTCCCATATTGCAAAGTAATGGAAAAGGCAGAGCAAGATTCTCAGATAGTGAAGGTGGTCAGGAGCAAAGTATTTGAAGAAGGATTAAAAATAGCAAAAAGTTCTTATAAGCAGACATTTTCCACAACTTTTACCAAATAGTAAGCATGTAGGATTGAAAAAAAAAAAAGACACAAAGATAGATGAACTGTTAAGGATTATTAGTAGAAACAAAAATTGGCTGATGGGTTCTGATGCATCTGAAGACTTGTAATTAGACTTTGAATTTATAAAGAAGGATGCATCTTGATATTTTCAAAATAGAATTCGTAGAAAATTTATTTTTGCTACTTATAACAAAAAAATAAAGAAAATCACCCATAGGACATGCATAAGGTGGAACTAAAATTCAAGGAAAGGAGGCCAAATAAGCCCCAGGTGTTTAATGTGACGGGAGAGAATATGCATAGCTCCCCCTCACTGGGGAATTGTGAGATGTCCTGAGATGAACTGGGCAAAGGAGGAGGGAGGTTGACAATTATGCTGAGAGGCAGGAATAGAAACGGAGGCAATGATTGGGAAATGGCACAGATCCAAGATTCAGGAGTCATGGAGGAAGTAGGTAATGATTTGTGGAGCTATCTTCGTCTCCAAAAGAAGCATGAAAGGCAGTTTCTATGAAGAAATTGAGAGGGATAAAATATAATAAAATAAATAGTAGAAACGAAAAATAAGCATGCCAATGAACACACACATGAGCATAGTCAGTCTGCTTTTACCTTGGGCCACTGTTCAGAGTCCTCTCCCTCTAGAGAGCTGTATGACTCCCTTCTTCTCTTCCTTCAGGTCCCTGCTTATTTATAATTTTATCAATGAGGTTTTCTTTGACCATGATATTCAAAACATAGCAATGAAATTCTCCATTCCACTGCATAACCTATTTCTGCTGACTCTGCTTTACTATATAGCATTTATTACTTTCTAAATGCTATCTATTTATGATATATCTCTTTCAAGTAAAATGTATGGTCCATAAAGGCAGAAATGTTGTCTGTGTTTGTTCTCTGCTGTGTCCCCAGAGCCTAGAACAGTGCTCAGGACTTAGCAGTCATTGAATGAGTAAATGAAGGGACGTTCCTTGGAAAAAATGTGCTGAAAGCTGGAGAGTGCAAAATTCTTGATCCATCACAAATTCTTATTTGCTGGCTAACTAGTTTCTCTTCACTGGCTTCAATGTGTCATCTGTAATATTGCGTGAATTAAGTGAGGTTGGGAGTAGGAATATTATATTGCCCCAGGGAAGGAATTGAACTAGTCCAGCTCTTTGAATTTCTTCTGGTTCATAGTCCTATAATTTTGTGATTCTAAGATTTCATCATCTAAATGTTCTATTTTCTCCCACAGTGAATTCTCTGCTTTTAAATCAAGTGAATATCTCAATTTTATATGAAATCTGCAGATGATGAAGATTTGCTTTGGTGGGATAAGCAAACATAAGATGAAAGACACCAAAATAATTTTTTGGCCTCGTTAGTCTAAGTTATTCTATATTGGTGAATTGGCTTCTATATTTAGTTGAACCAAGGGGAAAGACATTCAAAACAGTTATGCTGATGTATTTTTTTTTCAACCTGTTATTTAAAGGAATTGACCAAATACAGTAGACAATTCCTTGGCTGTTATTTAGAAAAAGCTTCGAGCTTGAATCAATATGATATTTTGCTCTGTAGATATTGAAAATCATTCTACTGTTGTCACTAATTGCTTTGGTATTCTGCAAAAATACAAAATGTCAGCTATTTATTAATAAATCTGTTTTTGTAGTAGGGGGTACATCTTTACTGTTTATCATGTACCAGCAGTAAATATATATATATATATATATGTACACACACATGCACACACACACACTAGAGCCTTGAATAGAGAGCCTTGAATAGAGCATGTAATGAAGGACTGTCAGCATGCGGCGTATCTGTTGATTATAAAGCAGGTAATGGGATGTGCGAGGAGAACCACATGAATACAATTCTTCCAAAGCCCTCATCACCAATGATCACTCTTACAAAGATTAAAAACTGTCAGATATAATCATTTATCAGGTAATTGTAAAACAGGAAAATATAAAATTATGAAGAGATTTCTGATGGCTTGTCACAGTCAGCCCCTGGACCAGGCTTGCGTAGGATTCATGAGATTAAATAGATAAAACACATATTCATTTGATTTTCTAGTGCAACTAAATTGAGAAAGGTGGTTGTGCAGGACAGATGCTTCATCTCTTTTTATGCAGCAGTGAGTGCTAGAGAAGGCAATCCTCTGTCTTCATCTTTTTAACAGAGCGCTTCTAGAGACACAAACTATGGTTTCAAACCGTTCCAGAAAATAAGATTGTTTCCTCAGACAAGAAAGATTAATGGACAAATGCACTCCTCCACCATATCCAAGCCATGTTATACACACGTTTAATGCTGTGTATGTAAATATGCCTATGAGGCACAATTTGGGGAGCACTGAGAACACTTTTGTAGCTCCATGGATCATTTCCACTAGCTTAATGCAGTTGCTGAAATCATCATTACAAGGCTTGCCAATCCTGAAAACAAAAGCCTTTTCCCTTAGTCTGAGTTAAGGATGTGTTTAAGGATAGACTTAACAAATGAACTATACCAGGGTGAGAAATATGAGGCAGCTCTTGGTGCCCCTGCCCTGAAACCTCAAAAAACCTAAACGTGCTTGAGTACTCTCCTCTCTGACCAAAAAAATCTTAAGTTTTTCAAAACATATGAATTGAATACACAATATTATGTGCCAAGCAAAGAGGGAGGTGGCTTCTGTTCTCAGCAGGAGGCAAGTATATAAATAAATAACTGCACATATGCAATATGCCATTTGAGGAACACATTATGTTGCTTAAGGTTTATTGAGAAATCAGTGACACATGGGTTTGAAGGAAGGGTTCAGTAA